GTCGCCACCACACGGCTCCAATCACTCTTACCTCACAACTCTAGGGTTTGGCTACTCCATAGCCATAGCTTTAGGTTTCCTCGTCCTTCTCTCCACCGTCCTTCTATCCTCTTACATCTGTTGCCGTGACTCTCGCCGCCGCACAACCGCCGTAGAATCCACCGGAGACCGTGGCGGAAGCGTAATCCTCCCACGCATAATCTTTGTAGCCGAAGAAGACAACGAAGATCTCGAAGCCGGTGACGTCATTATTGGTCTTGATCAAAACGTTATAAACTCTTACCCTAAGTTCCACTTCTCTAAAGAAACCTCCGCCGCGTCCTCCGATGGGTTTGGCGGTGGAGGAGATACGACGTGTTCGATCTGTTTATGTGAGTATAAAGAAGCGGAGATGTTGAGGATGATGCCGGAGTGTAAACACTACTTCCATTTATGTTGTCTTGATGCGTGGCTTAAACTCAACGGATCTTGTCCTGTTTGTCGGAACTCGCCGCTTCCGACGCCGACATCTACGCCTTTGTCGACACCGTTGTCGGAAGTTGTACCACTTTCGCAGTACGCAGCTGATAGGAGAAGAACAAGAAGATGAGATTTGTTTACATAGATCTATTCGCCTAAAATTAGGGTAATATTATTATTATTTTTGCTCCGTTTCATTAGTCATTACAACTTTGCTGATTTGTAATTAAACAAATTCCGTTAAAGGTGGAGTTTGTCATTAGTATCATCCAAATGAAATGAAATCCACTTTGAACGTTTTGATTCACAGATTTTATGCCTTTTGTTTGTTGACCTTATTCTATAAATTTGAGCGGTTTATAATAATCAGTTACGCGGTCGTGTTTGTGACATATATAAAAAGGTTTTGAGTTTGAATAGTGAAATTTACTTTAGTTGAATATATTAGGTTTTTGAATGTCGGAAATAGATGTTTCTAAAGTTGGGAACAAAAAGAGTTTACAATCTTTAGATAGTATAGATTGTATAGTGCTATATTTTTTTTTTCTTTTCCCGCTAGTAGTTGAAGTCCTTCGTTGGTCCAAATGTTGAATGGTTGATTAAAAATGTAAACTACCTTGATTTTTCTAAATGAAACAAACACATTTTAATATTTCTAAAAATGTAATATTTCTATACATGTGAACATTTGTATATACACTATTCTTTTCGAAGATGTAACTTACAATTTATTCATTGCCTGTGATTTAAAAAAAAAAATTCAGAGATATAAAAATTCTGACGAGAGATAATTTTTAGATTTAGAATAGTGAGTTAGTGACCATGCGAAATGTGACGGTCCGATATTGAATAATGTGAACATATGGTATTTATATCGTTGAAATATTTAGGTTTGTCATAATGAGTCTGAATGTGTTATTTGACTTACAGTAGTCCACGAATTCGCCTTTTCTATTCCTTCCCCGCACTATCTCGTGGTGTAGTTTGTTGGAGCTTAGTGGTAATATCTTTGTAATTAAATAATTAAACCTCATTTTGATTTTGAATTCAATTACAAATCTAACACTTGTCGAAATTTCAAAAGCTATGGTTCTGATCCGGTAAAATATACGGACAATAAAACAAATGTAATCACACGATATTTTAAAAATAAAATCCGTAATTGACGCCATCAAAAAATAACCTTGTTAAAAATTACACGTGTACATAATAATGAATGAATCATTAAGAGCTTTCAGTTTGAGCCGTCGATTTCACGATCTGATATCGGACACGTGTCATGAATCGAATGGTGGCATCGGTTACTTTTAATGAAAAGATTACGACGCTTAACGCACCATTAGCGTTTCCTCCTTTTCGTTGCCTACACGTTCGAGGCTTCTATTTCTCCGTCAACGAAACGTTACCGTCCGTTTTACGAAATACTAACGTCGTTTAAGACGAACCTATTCAAAATTATCTCCGAACCAACACGTTCGGGTTTCCGAACCTCAGGCTCGTTGTTATAAAGCTTCGTGTAAACCTATCATTTTCCTCCTCTCTTCACGTTTTGGATATTTCTTTTTGTTGAAATTTTTGGAATCGGAGAGAAATTTTCAATGGCGGAAGAAATTGAGAAATCTGTGCCGGTGGAGGAATCTATGATGGAGAAGATCGCCGAGAAGATTCACCATCACGATTCGTCGTCATCGTCTGAATCCGAGTACGAGAAACCGGATTCTCCTTCGGCTGTGAAAGCGAAGATCTATCGTCTCTTTGGTAGAGAGAAGCCTGTTCATAAGGTTCTCGGTGGTGGAAAACGTATGGGTTCCTGTTCTAGTACATTTTCTCTGGTTTTAATCGTGATTTGAATTCTTCATCTGCGATTTAAGATTTGGATTTTATGATGATATGATGCATGAATGTAGTTTCAGGAGCAAATTGCGTTTTAGCATTCTCTTGAATCGATTTGGGTATTATAAGGAAAACTGGAATTTTAGGGATAATGTTTTTCGAATGGAGAGTTGATTAAGATTAAGACATTTACGTTTCTCTTATGCCATTTTGAAGAAATGTTGCTACACCAATTTGATATGAAATCAGTACATTGGCTCTATTGGTTGAGATTATGTCATTGACATTTGAGTTTGAAGGATTTACAATCTTTGTCGTCTGCTTTGTAATCCTTGTCTCATTTTGTTGCCTTGACTCATTTCTCAATGGCTTTTTGCAGCTGCTGATGTGTTCTTGTGGAGGGATAAAAAACTATCAGCTGCTGTTCTTGGTGTCGCGACTGCGATTTGGGTTCTGTTTGAGCTGGTTGAGTATCATTTGTTGAGTCTTTTGTGTCACATTTCGATACTCGCTCTTGGAGGCCTGTTTTTATGGTCCAATGCTCATACACTTATCAAAAAGTAAGACTCAGAGCCTTGATCAAGTTTAATGCCATCATGTTTTGGTTGGTTTGTTTATTCAGAACCTTGCTTTTGTTTTTTACAGGACTCCACCTGAAATTCCAGAAATCCATGTTCCCGAAGAGGCTTTCCTTGTGATTGCTTCTTCCCTGAGAAACGAAGTAAACCAAGCTTTTGTTATCCTAAGAAGCATTGCTTTAGGAAGGGACTGGAAAAAATTCCTCATGGTATATGCTCAATCTTTGTTGCTGACATTTTCAGTTTCGTATGAGAAGAAATTAGTTGCATATCTAACTCAACGCGTGAATAGAATATATTTTGTGAAATCATAGGAGGTTCTCTGCAATGTTGTAACTCAATTGTTTGTTATGTTCAGGTTATTGTTGGTCTATGGATCATTTCGGTGGTGGGAAACTGGTTCAATTTCTTGACTCTGGTGTACATATGCTTCGTGGTGTTGCACACAGTGCCAATGATGTATGAGAAACATGAGGACAAGGTTGATCCATTGGCAGAGAAAGCGATGAAGGAGTTGCAGAAACAGTATCTGGTTTTTGATGAAAAGGTTATTTCTAAGATTCCCATTGCTTCTCTCAAGGCAAAGTTGGGTTAAAGTGAGCCATACAAGTCTTTGGTTTTCTTTTTTGTTATTATATTTTTGATCATGTGAGAAATTGGTGGTCCGTTTTCAGAGTTTTGCCGCTAATGGCCCATATGTCTCCTTTTTATATCACATTTTGACTACATTTTTTTTTAATTTTTTTATATAATTCAAAAACTATTATCTTTACTTTTTCTTTTTTTCCTGGCTATTTTTGGAGAATACTTGAGTTTTGAACTTCTGTGTATAACTTAACCG